TCCTTTATTCGTTGAGGTCTGTTGCCAGAGCTGGTCTGCAACCTGTGGTCTCAAGAGATTTTGCCTCGGCTCCCTGAGTAGCTGGTGCAGCAACCTTGCTTTTCAAAATCTGCTGCTATATTATCGAAGTTTTTTTTTTTTTCTTTCCATGGCGGCTCACTGCAGAACGTTCCCAATGAATTCCCTCATGGAGTCATAACCCATGGAGAGATCTGACTTTTCTAAGAAGGCTGCAGCCCATGGGTCTCAGGCCCCAAGTCATAGTTTAACTCTACCATCTCAGGTGTTTGAACTGGCTAAAGAACAGCCTTCTCATAAACTGGGAATGAATTCCTGCTTCCCAGGTACCTATAACTTTACACACTGTCTTTTTTTGTTTATTTGGGTTTTTTTGTTTGTTTGTTTTTTCAAGACAGGGTTTCTCTGTGTAGTCCTGGCTGTCCTGGAACTCACTCTGTAGACCAGGCTGGCCTCGAACTCAGAAATCCGCCTGCCTCTGCCTCCCAAGTGCTGGGATTAAAGGCGTGCACCACCACTGCCCAGCAACTTTACACACTGTCATCAGCTTGCTCTCCTGTTGGTTGTGGCCCTTCTGGAATGTCTTGTAAAAAATGTTCTCTGTGAAATGTGTGTTGTTGATGGTTATAGTAGTAATTCCACAGTGTGCAGACTGTATGGGTAAGATCTAGTGAACACATAGTACCACAAAATGCATTCTTGTTTTGTTTTTTGGTGATGCTGGGTATGAACCCAGTGCCTTGAACTTACTAGGCAAGCACTGAGCCAAACTCCCCTCTGCCAATATTATATTGTTGTTTTATCTACAATCTCTATTCTTTTTATAGAAAGGGTTTCAGGATTTCAATTCTAGCATAATCATGACTTGGACCTGGAAGTTCAGTGTGCATTAGTACACTACAGCTTACACACACACACACACACACACACACACACACACACACACACACACACACGCTTAGTCCTGAGCTTCTATGAGTGAGCTGTCTCCCAAGTAACTGGGACTACAGGTGCATGCTATCTGTGATAGTTTGAATAAGAATGCCTCCATGGCTCATATATTTGAATGCTTAGTCACCACGGAATGGAAGTGTTTGAAAGAATTAGATGGGTCAGGAGCTGTGGCCTTGTGAGAGGAACTGTGCCACTGAGGGTGGACTCTGAGGTTTCATAAGCCCAGAATCTGTCTCTCTGCTGGCAGACCAGGATGTGATGGTCTCAGCTCCAACTCCTGCCATGCTCCCCACCATGATGCTAATCCCCTTAGCATCTGAAACTGTAAGCAAGCACTCAATCAAATGCCTTTTTAGCACCTTTTTTTTAGTGTATAGTCTACCAAAAATATTAAATGTGTTACAAATTTATGTGTCATCCTTGAGCAGGGGAGCTACTGCCTTAGTATTACATGTATTTGTTTGGGTGGCAATCACCTGCACAGTCATGATGGAACTGTACCTCCCTAACCTACATAAAGAACACTTATTTAGACTTTCAAATATATAAATTTTCTGAGTCCAGCATGGTCATGTAAGGGATGGAATGGCATGCTTCCTGCTCCTAGAACAAACCCAGCAGGGTATGGGCCTCCACGAGTGTTGATGGTTGCTATGAGCATAAGGTTTCTATAATAGTGTACATATTTTCACATTCCTCCTTTGAGGAATGTCTTCTTTGCTAAGGTTAATGACTCCATGATAATCAGAGACAGCACTGAGTCCAGGAGGCAAGGCTGTATCTGTGTCTCAGTAAAATAGCAGACCTTCAGGACAGCCCTTATGGCTGTAGGAAAGAAAGCTAAAACCATGAGTTCAAAAATAAATAGTTTCTCAACTATGCAAAAATATAAGGGTGCAATATGAATTGTATATGGAGCTTCACAGATCTAAAGGAACAGAGGCAGCTGCACTATGAGCCAGCTTGTCAGAAAAGGAAGGAGATAAAGAGATTTAGGAAGTAGTGGTGTAGAGTGAAAAATTATAGATACTGGGTATATAGAATCCTTTTTAGACATATAAAATATTCTTTAGGCTTTCTTTATAAAGACATGGAGAAACCGAGCCATGAAGCAAGTTAGGAATGTGGAAAGACCAGTCACCATTACTGGAACTGGCTGACCCACAAAGAGAAAGGAAAGAATGCAAGTGAACTAGGTGGAACCAAGCTGAGAACCAAGCTGGTAACCGGAGTGACAGGGCAAGGCCACAGTGACAGGGCAGGACCACATTCTTGAGAAAGATTATCTTACAGAGAGTTTTCACCTGACCCTGACTCATGTAGGTTGGGTTCCTTTGGAATGTTCCGCTATTTTTATGTTATGTGCCTTAACAACCCCCTCATCCCCCTCCCCATTCCTTGGTTTGTGGTTTTTCCCCTCAAACTGGCTGTCGGGGTCAATTCAGCTCCTGCATGGGCATACGATTTGACCGGCAGCTAGCTGTTACACACCCTAATAAACCTCGCTATTGCTCTGGTACATGGTGTCTCGAGCAGATTACTGGGTGGTCGAAACTTTCTGAGACTTGAGTGAGGGTCTCCCCTCTGCGGAGGTCTTCAGTGATCGAAGGACAAGATTCCATCTAGCTAACTTTTTTTTTGCTTACAAAGACAAACAGATTTCTCAGTTCAAGGTCGGCCTGGGACAGAGGGAATTATCCAGATCCAGGCCCCTTGGTAGGAATGGCAATTTCAGGGTGGTGGCAGGGGAGGATGGAGAGATTACAGGGCAGGGCCCCAATCAGCTAGCTTATTGTCCATGTTTGTGTTTGCTGTCTCTTTCTAAGAATCAAGGAGTTCAGGTCCTGTTTTGTTGATTCATGGGATACTCAAAAGAGAACTTGGGGTAATGACTGATTGATATGTAAAATAAAAGACTGGGCTTTTGGTCTGCTAGAGATGGGCCGCACAGAGTTTTTAGAATTGCAGAAAAGCTGTCTAGAGCAGAGAGCTGTCTGGAGATCTCCAGAGAAAGCAGAACATAGTAAGAGCAATCTGAGAGCTGTTTGAGCAAAACCTAGGCTGTCAGATTCTAACCTACCATTTGACTTCCAGTGATTTGTTTCGCTGCTGCTCCCAGACAACCCCTTCTCTCAGGAACCCCTCTCCAAGCTGAAGCTGGTCCTTGCCATAAATTTTAGTTAGAATTGGCAGCATGGTTATTATTCTTTCTTTTATGTTCAAAAAGGAACAGGCTGGATGTGACAGCACATGCTTATAATCCTAGCACTTAGAGAGCTGGGGAGGATTGAGAGTTCAAGGCTAGCCTACGTTAGAAAGGTTTGTAGTTGCTATTGCTTTAACATTTATTCCTTACATTTTAAGTGTATGTGTGTGTCAAAGTACAAATATATACACCATGTGCAGGTGTTGATGAGGCCAGGAAGTTTTAGGCATCTGTGAGTGGCCTAATATGGGTGCAGGAAAACAAACTCAGGACCTCTATAAGAGGAGCATGTGCTCTTAATATCTGAGCCCTCTCTCCATGGACACTGTTCTCCCTTACCCCAAAGAACCCCAGAACAAATAACCCAAACAAAAAAAAAATTAATTTTAAATTCTGAAAATATTCATTTTTTATTGATTTAAAAACATGACTGTCCATATATACTCATGTAAAAATACATTAAAATACAGTTTTGTGACTTAACATATTTTATATAAAAGTATAAGGTCCTAGTAGTTACTAAGGATTACCATTGGTTTGATTTTATGATACATTTCATGAGAATTTCTGGGACAAAAGTAAGATTTTTTGAAAGGTAAAATATAAAAATAGTTTTCCAAATAAGACAGACTTGGGGTGAGAAAAAGCAGATGTCTACGAATGTACGACCTAACCCAATGCACATTTGCCTTTAATGGTTTTGTTTTTGAGACAGGGTCTCTCTGTGTAACCCTGGCTGTCTTGGAACTCAGAGATCCTCCCGCCTCTACCTCCTCATGCATTACCATATCTGGCTGCACACTTCTTTTTTGTTATTTTTGAGATACAATTTCACTATATATAACCCAGACTGGCCTGGAACTCAGTATCTACCCCAGCCTCACAGCCTCCTCTGCCTGTGCTGAGATCCTAAGTGTGGGCTAACATACCCAATCAAACACATAGCATGCAATTTCATTACAAAAGTTTTTTTTAAAAAAATCTCAATATTGCCTTTTAAAAAGCAGTGTGTGTTTGTGTGTGTGTGTCTCAGCACACCCACGCACACACCCACTACCTATTGCCCTAGGATTGTTGTGATGGAACAATTGTTGTGGTGTGAGTTGAAGGAAATACTTGATTTGGTTTGGTGTAGGGGCCATGCTGGGAGTAAAAACCAAAGTTTTTATGCAGGAGAGCACATTCTGTTATCATTGAGCTACATCCCCATCCCTGGGATTAAAGGCATGTGCCACCACTGCCCGGCGACATTTTCACTTTAATGGTTAAAGATTCTTTCCTGACCCACCCCCAAGTCAGCCAAGATTATGAGAACATGGGAAATAAAGGACTTGGAAAGCAAGCAGAAATATCTATTCTTTCACCACAGACACATACAGGCTACTCTGTGTTTATTTACCATTTTTTCTCCAAGCATACAAAAAATCAGTAATATACATATGTGGCTACACTGTTTATAGAATAACTTTCTTGATTGCTTTTCTTTCCCTTTATGCATTCCTCCCTTCCATTAACTGACTATTTTTCCCAGAAAGGCTCTCTCTACATAGCTCAGGCCAGACTCTCCTCTCCATTTCTCAGGGCTAGGATTACAAGCCTGTGCCATCATATCTGGCCCCTTCTTCTCTTCCCTTCCCTACACACATATGTATGTTTTTTGTTTGTTTGTTTGTTTGTTTGTTTTTCGAGACAGGGTTTCTCTGTGTAGCCCTGGCTGCTAGCTGTCCTGGAACTCACTCTGTAGACCAGGCTGGCCTCGAACTCAGAATTCCACCTGCCTCTGCCTCCCAAGTGCTGGGATTAAAGGCATGCGCCACCACTGCCCGGCCAAAAATCTTTTTTATTGAATGGATATTCATAAAATATTAACAATGGTAGTAATAGTTTTATAATGTTTGACTTTTATATATTTTGTATAAAATTATAGAAGCTATAAGATTTAAAATATCTATCCCATTTCTGACAGCTGATGCCCCTCGGCATGTACTTCTATAGACACATAGCTCTGTGTTTCATGACCCCATGAAGCCATGGTGCCTGGCATTTTGGTTCACGTTTCAAGGGCCCATTCACAAGTGGAAGATCCCATATTAAGTCACACGTGGATGACTGTAGGTCTGCTCATGAAGTTCACAGGCGGAACCCCCACAAGCTGTAAAACAGAGTTTATGGGTTTGTGATCCAACCTATTCCTGTCTCGGTGCACAAAGTGGATGTTGTTACCTGGAAGAGAACAAGGACAGACTGCTGAGGGCAAATATCACACTAGTCTTTAGAGTCACTGCTTATCAGGATCAAGGAAGCATTCCAACTCCTAATTAGTCCAGAGGGAAAATTAATTACCTAGAGTTCCTTATATTCCCTACGTAATGCCACCATAATTCTGCATCATGGCAATTAACCATGACAAGGCAATGGCTGAATAAGAGTGTTACTTAGTATGTTATGAGTTCCGAGGGGACAGCATCCTAAATTTAACCTTCTATTCAGTTTCATCAAGTATAATTAAATAAAACATCCAACCAGACAGGCAGAATCTGGAACTAACATATGTATCAGCTGGGAAATGGTATCTATTTTTAAAGTACATGTACTAATAAATTTCACTTCAAAATATTTGCTTGCTTCAAAAACTTTACTCCTGGGCTAGGGGGTACCTCACTCATGAGGTTCTGGGTCATCCCTAGCACTGCCTGCCCCCCCCCCAAAAAAAAAAGAGAGAAGGAAAGAAAAACATTGACTTAATAGGATGTTTTATAACTAACCTAAGAGAAAGCAGTAAACCAATTGGCTACAGAATACCTAGACACCCACAATCCTCCTATATCCACTCAACTAAGTTACACTTTATCATCTAAGTCCTGTTAATTCCATCTTAAACACAAAACCAGAGTTTCTGTTTTGAGGATCTTTCTATTATGTAGCCCTGGCAGGCCTGGAACTCACTATGTTGACTAGGCTGGCCTTGACCTCACAGAGATCCTCCTGACTCTGCCTCCAAAGTGTTGGGATTAAAGACATGTGCCACCATATTCCCAAAACAAGGATTTAGCTTGAAACCTTATATCAAATGGCATGTTTCTATGGCCACTGACCACAACCTATAGTTACAGGTTTAATTCATTCCCTGAAGACCTGGCTGTGGTGATTTCAATGAAAATGACTCCCATAAGCTCACAGGGAGAGGGATTATTTGAAAGGATTAGGAGGTGTGGCCTTGTTGAAGGAAGTGTGTCAATGTGGGTAGGCTTTGAGGTTTCAGAAGCTCTAGCCAGATCCAGTGACACTTCCTGCCCATCCAGATGTAGAACTCTCAGCTACCTACCTCTTCAGCACTATACCTGCCTGCGTGTTGTGCTTCCTGCCATGCCGATAAACTTCTAAACTGTAAACCAGCCCCAAATAAATGTCGTCCTATCTAAGAGCTGCAGTGGCCATGGTGTCTCTTCACAGTAATAGAACCCTAATGAAGACAACAGCCAAGTGACTCAGTGACATGAGATGAGAAACAGGGTAAAAAAAAAAAAAAAAAAAAAAAAACCAAACAAGAAAACACCGCTTCCAGATCTGAGGATGCAGACTAGTTACTAAAAAATATGACTCTGGAAGATGGGGTATAACTCAGTGATAGAAGTACCCACATAGTGTGCACAAGGCCCCAGCAAAATACTAGCACCACAGAGAATGAAAAGAATATGGGCTGATGAGATGTCTCAGGGGGTAAAGATGTTTGCCACTAAGCCTGACAAACTGAGTTTGATTCCCAGGACTCACCTCATGGAAGGGGAGAACAGACTTCTGCAAGTTGTTCTCTGACTTCCTATGTACCAAGGCACACATGTCCTGCCCCCTATGAATGCGTGCTAGCTCATATACATACTAAATAAACAAAGACATGCTAAATGGCTGATGGCAGTATTCAAGAGGTAGACAGGCAGATCTGTGACTCTGAGGCCAGTCTGCTTTGCAGAGCCTGTTACAGGTCAACTAGGGCTGCATAGTAAGAACTTGTTGCAAAACAAAGCAAAACAAAATCTATTTTAAAAGGCAGAGGCAGGTGAATTTCTGTGAGTACAAGGCCAATCTGGTCTACACACTGAGTTCTAGAACAGCCAGGGACATATAGGGAGAAATAAATAAATGAATAAATGAAGAAGAGAAGGGGAAGGGAAGGAACTCTAAACGGGGTGTGGTGTGTCTACACAGCCATGCCCTAGTGGGCTCAATCCCTAGCACCAAAAACAAGCTTCCAAGTAGTTCAGTGCCATTTGGGTAAATTTATAGGACTCATAAAATAGGCTCATTTATTTACTTACTTATTGGTGCTGAGCCCAGGAAGCATGCACCTGCAACTGAGATACAACTCCAGCCCCAAAGGGCTTCATTTTAAATTAAGCTGATCTAAAGTTGTGAGAGACAGCTACAAGCCTGCCTGCTGTAAAGAACCAAAACCCCCGTCAGAATCCTCCCTCCAGCATCTGGGACTTAAAGAAGTGCTAATTTAGTAATTCTTGGAAGGTATGCTCACTAGCAGGTATGATTTTAAAGAGACTGAAGAATGAAGAAAAATCTGCCTATGCAGAACCTAAATGTGGAGAAAGCCAACTTTTTACACTGACCAGGATGGAGCTAGAGACATCTCTGGCCCAGACACAGTCAATAAAGTTGTTGGCCTCTGTGGGATGTGACACTTCTTACTTCGGAAAGGGTCCACACTGGCGCTGGCTTGAACTGTGTGGTTCTACTGGTTTGGTTAGTAAAAATAAATATTCTTCCATTTACAAAAGGGAGTCAGCCCTTCAAGCGTGAACAGCAACTGTCCTTTCCTGGGAAGCTATCTAGCTGGACCCCATCAAACTTCTGTAACTTTATTCCATATTCTCATCTACACTGTCTGTAGATTTATTTATTTACTCATTTATTATTTTCACTTTCAGTTTTTGCTGTAGCCCTGGCTGTCCTGGAACTCGATCTGTAAACCAGGCAGGCCTCAAACTCAGAGGTCCACCTGCCTCTGCCTCCCAAGTGCTGGAATTAAGGGCATGAGCTGCCACCATTGCCTGACTTTTTTTGTCTGTTTTTCTGTCTGAAGATTTTTGAATGTGGTAACAGAGACACTGGTTATCAACATGCAGAGCTTGTTTGGTGAATCCTCACCCTCATTATGTTTTCTGGACAAATGTACAGGGATCTGTTCTAGTGCATTCCTATTCCTTTGGACCAGATGGCTTTGTTGAGACTGGGATTGCTATGCACATATGGATCCCCCATCTCCTTCATGGGAAATTTCCAGATTTCTTTGAGCGCCCAAGGAAAAATATGGAATACTTTGTAAATTTGTATGCCATCATTTGTGCAGGGATCATGCTAATCTTTGTATTGTTCCAATTTTAGAATATGTGTTGTCATTGAATTCTTTTAAGATTTACTTTATTTTTAATTATGTGTATTTTTATGTGTGTTTGTGTGTGTGTGTGGGGGGGAGGTTTGTACACATGAGTATATAGGTGCCCAAGGAGTCCAGAAGAGGCAGTCAGATCCCCAGGAGCAAAAGTTACATGTGGTTGTGAGTCACCTGATGTAGGTTTGGAAACTAAATGTAGGTCCCCTGCAGAAACTTGTAAACACTGAGCAATCTCTTTAACCCCTGTTGAACTTTGTTTGTTTGTTTGTTTGTTTGTTTGAGACAGGGTTTCTCTGTGTAGCCCTGGCTGTCCTGGAACTTACTCTGTAGACCAGGATGTCCTCGAACTCAGAAATCCACCTGCCTCTGCCTCCCAAGTGCTGGGATTAAAGGCACACGCCACCACTGCCCAGCCCTATTGAACTTTTAAAAGACTATAATAGCCATGTATCAATCAGCAACTCAGAGCTTACTTTCTGTGTCTCAAATCCCTGCCCTCACTCAGGAGTGATGGGTATCCTAACCAAATGAAAACATCAACACACAGAAGCCTCTGAGGATGAGAGATGCGCCTTACCAAAGCGTGCCAATCCATTAGCCTGAGACTCCCACCTTTACAGTGTTCTAGGATGTAAAACAAGTGGGTAGCTCTCAGTAACCTGCCCTTGATGCTCACCTGGACCTAAAATGAGGGTTCCTCCTTGCTGAGCTGGGTCTCCTTGGAAATCAAAAAGTGGGCCAGTGACTGCCCGCCACAGGCTCTGAAGGCTTCCCGAGAGCAGGTTGGACTTTATGTGGGGGCTCTGTCCTGAAATATTGAAAATTGTCTTTAGGTGTTATCATTTTATATTCCAATGAGATATGATGCCAGTTCTTGTATAAAACATTCTTAAAAAAAATAAATTACGTGTTCATGTCTGTATTTGTGTGTGGTTGTATTTGTGTGTGGTTGTACGTGCTCATTGCTGTGCCCACTGGAGGCCAGAAGAGAACACCGAATGCCCTGGAGGTGGAGTTACAGGCAGTGGTGAGTCCACCAGAATGAGCACTGGCAACTGAACTTGAGTCCTTTGCAAGAACATCGTGAACTCTTAATGGCGAGCCATCATCTCTCCAGCCCCGTATCCTCCCTCCTTTCCTTATTCTTCAATGGAAATCACAGCAATGAACTTTCCACTTATCTTTTTTCTTCTTTGAAACAATGGCTTAACCTGTCACTGACACTGCTCAGTCTTTTTCTATTGCACAGTAAGGCATTTGGCAACATCCTTGCCTTCTATACCAGCTAAATGCTAGTAACACTGGTCACCGAGTTGGACAACCAAAAATATCTCCAGGACAAACATGCTGGGAGGGAATAATGTCCCTGCTGAGGACATTGTCTTAAAGGAAGAAGTGGCAACAGACCCCACCCATCTGCCAGAGAGAATGTGAGTGACCCATTTCTTAGATTTGTACCCCTTCTATCTTAATTTCCCATGTATACTTGCTGGTTTTCTCACCTCATGCTCCTTTCCAAGACATATTCTGCTGCACAGGTTGTTGATGATGGACAACACCTTTTCTTCCTCCTGGGACCACGACTAGGTTGCTCCTTCCAGCTTCCCTCACATTAGCCTTGGAACTGTTCTAGCTAGTGAGTGAAGTGGTTGCTTCCTGGCCAAGCTCCCAAAACCTCCCTCCAAGTTCTTGGAAAGCTTGGATTGGAAATGACAGAGCCACAGGAGGGCAGGTCACAGGCCTCAGGAGCACTGTTTGATGCCTGTCATTTCCTACTCTGTTTTCACAATGACTGACACTTCTGCTCTGTGTCTAATGTTCCTGCTCCTTTTGGGCTGAGAAACCCAGTATCTGTTCCTCGTTTTAGAACTATTTTATCTCATATTCTTGCCTTGTTTATGTCAGACTTTAAGCTTTAAACATTGATGACTGTGGAGAAAAACACACAGACTCAAACTTACCTTCCCCTACTCTGACTTCTGACTGGGATCAGTTTGACTTCAGCTACCTGTGGGTGTGTTTCTCCACATACCAACTAAGCAGAGACTCAGTAGTGACACACTCTCCCAGAAGACAATGTCAAGTCAGGCAGGTGGGAGGCTAAGTCTCAAAATGGGGCCCTACTTAATGCAGACACTGTCCACAGGCCTGGGTTGTTTAATTTTAACAAATATTTATTTACATTTTATGTACATGAGTGTTTTGTCTGCACGTACATCCTCAGAGCAGAAGACTGTGACTGGCTATAAAGTGGGATTCCCATAAGCCCTTTTGGGATACAATGAATTTTCTTGAGTGGCTCACAGAATTCAAGCACACTATGATGATTAATTTTAACTTTCAATTACATTGAATTAAATTAAACTGACACGATTTAGAATCATCTGGGAAGGGAGTCTCAGTGAATAACTAGTCTATATTAAATTGGCCTGTAGACATGTTTATGGGGAATTATCTTGATTAGTGTGCCCACTGTGGGTGGCACCATTCTCCGGTTAGAGGATTCTTTATGAGCAGAGAAAGGAGGCTGAGCGTAAGCATGTGTGTGTTAATTCAAGGCCCTCTGCTCTTGACTGAGGATGTAATGTGGCCATACATTACATACATAAAGTTCCTGCTGCCTTGAGTTCCTGTAGTCATGGCCTGTAACCTAGAATTGTGAGCCAAGTAAAACTTCTTCTTGAAGCTGCATTTCACAGGATGTTTTTACCACATCAACAGACATGACATGACCATGACATAATCACTTAACACTTAGCATAAAATATCTAAGTGCTTTAATTTTTTTTTAGAGATTTATTTATTTGTGTTTCATATATGTGAGTACACTGTCTCTGACTTCAGACACACCAGAAGGCATTGGATCCCATTACAGATGATTGGGGGCCACCATGTGGTTGCTGGGAATTGAACTCAGGACCTCTAGAAAAGCAGTCAGTCCTCTTAACTGGTGAGCCATCTCTCTAGCCTGTGCTTTAACTTTTTTTTTTAAAAAGTTGTTTTTGTGCTTTGTGATTTTATTTTATGTACACTGATGTTTTGCCTGCATGTATGTTTGTGTGAGGGTGTCAGATCTTGGGATTGCAGACAGTTGTGAGCTACCATAAAGGTGCTGGGATTTGAACCTGGGTCTTTTGGAATAGCAGTCTGTGTTTCCAATTGCTCAGCTGTATCTCCAGCCCCAAATGTTTCAAATGTTTATTTCTATTTCACTTGTGTGGGCATTTTGCCTGTGTGTACAACTGTGCACCATGTGCATGCTGTGACTACAAGGCATGCATCTGAGGTTATAAACAGTTTGAGACACCACATCCCTTAGAAGGGCAACCAATGGTTTAATTTTTAAATGAGGATCCTAAGAATGACTCTCAGAGTTACGCTTACCTTATAAGGAGGAACCTTTAAAAATGTTTTATGAAGCTGGGGAGCTAGCTTAGTTCCCAGCACCCCAGGTAGTTCACAACAGTATGAAACTCCAGCTCCAGGGGATCCAACTCCCTCTTCCAGTCTTCATGGGCACTGTGCATGGCATATGTGGTTCTGAATTTTGCCTCACCACTGGGGTGCTGGATCACTGTAGGGCTTGTAGGATGACAACTGGCCACTCGGGGGACGAAATATATCATAAGATAGGGGTCCCAGCCCATGTTTTGTAGGAATTTCAGGTCTTGGTTTAAACTTAAAATGGAAAGAATCTAAGGTTTCGGTTTAAACTCAAAAATTAACTGCCCCAGGATACATCCCGGGAGGAGCACATTCCAAAGACTTACACACACATTCCAGGGGAAGGGCCCAAGATAAGAGGTAATCAGGAAGCTGGGCCCTCTTAATAAATCTGGGCAAACAGAGGCCACTTAGCTGACACTCATTGTTATAAAGATAATGTGCAAATCTGAGTTACCTAGAAACCGGGCCTGGGAACGCCTGTTGAGGTCATCCTTTGTGGTTATTGTTTAAATGGTGATTGTAGCCTTTAATCCCAGCACTTGGGAGGCAGAGGAAGGCAGACTTCTGAGTTCGAGGCCAGCCTGGTCTACAGAGTGAGTTCCAGGACAGCCAGAGATACACAGAGAAACCCTGTCTCGAAAAACAAAAAAAAAAAAAAAAAAAAAAAAAAAAAGAGGTGATTGTAAAGTTGCCCTCATGAACTCTATAGAAATGGTATAAAAATTGTTTAGCTTTGGCTCGGGGTTCCTCTTGCCTGCGTGTGAGGGAATCCCAGTGCACTGGTTATCAACAATAAACCTCATGTTATTGCATCAAATCCTTTGTCCATAAGTGTTTTTTTCTGCTGGAGCACGTCCCCCAGTTTAGATCTTAGAGTCCCAACAGTTTCTCTGAGTGAGAAACAGTGCAGGGGCTGAGGCTGTGGTTCTTAAATTCTTGGGTATCCAGACACCACTGGGAACCTCAGAGAGTTGAAAATGGGAGGTGGGGTGGGAGCTGAGATGAGCTGGGGGTGGGGAAGCTTAGCTCAGGGTGAGTGGCAGGAGTGGGGAGAGGCCTTCTGCAGGAGATTTAGGCACTCCTCGATGAGAGAGACAGTCCTTGCTTGTCCACGGTGGGAAAGGATGCATATGGTTTACTCAGGAATACCTTTTGCAGGAAAGATGCCCAGGAAGGGAAGCTTATTGGCTAAATAAGCCCTTGGGGCCTATCTAGATACCTCATTAACATGGGGAACTCTGGGTTTTTATTCTATGTGACCAGTTGTCATGCTCCTCTTAGTAAAGGTCTTGTGGTCACCTGCTCCAGGACAGGAATCTGGTCTGGAGTTAGTGAACTGCCATTCTCAATTGAGAGCTGGGGTTCTGAACTCTTGCTACTTCCTTACCAGTTCTTCTGTCTGGTGGCATGGTCCATTGCCCCACAGGCACATACAGGCAAAACATTCATACACATAAAATAAAAATAAATCTTTAAAAATTACTTTATAAAATCTTGCTGGGTGGTGGTAGTAGTTCATGCCTTTAATCTCAGCACCAGGGAGGCAGAGCAAGAGGATATCTGCAGGCAAAACGCTCATACACATAAAAACAATAAAAAGACCATGGCATGTCTGCTTCACAAGTAGTTCCCAAGCCCCATCTCAGTGAAACCTCCTTGGCTGACAACATCTTTATCACCATCACTGGCTCCAGCTTGCCCAGGTCTGATTCCTTCTCCACAACACTCTGTGACTCCTTCACTTAGCTGCCACAAAACACCTGAGGATTCCCTAAGGATAAAGCTAAACTCTGAGTCAACCTGAATTCAGTGTGAGCTAGCCCAGCCTATCCAATGATTCACACTAGTTCAGCTAGAGGCACAGGTACCTGCCTGTCTTCGAGTGAGTGGCATTTCCCAAAGCCTTTGTACATCTGCCTTCATCTAGAGCACCCCTTTCCTACCCTCACACCACTAGTAACTTTCATGGTGAGCTGGGTCTTCATCTCCAAAATCAATTGCCTCTAGACTCTTCTTTCCCACATCCCTTGTCCCTTCTGCTTCTCCATCACAGTCTGCTTAGCTGCACTGAAATCTCTGGAAGGCAGAGGTTGTCCTTTACCACCGTCCCTCAAGAAGCATTCTATACTGTGGGAATCACAGACATTGACTGGAGTGTGAGGTCTGTCGGGATGACCTACACCCATAAAAATTATATCACATGGTTATGTAGGTATAGCCGTGTATTTTCAAATGTTAAGTGAGATATTTGGAATCGTCATTTCTATGGGACCATTACCTGCTTTCTATATGTAAATGTTTGTCACCTTCTCACCAACCCGAAAAGAGGAAAAAGCAAGCTGCCATGGGCGAAGTCAGGGGTGGTCGTGTTGCCCTCTATCTAGCCAAAAGCAATACTTAAGGTGTGGACTCTGTGTAGTCCTGCTGTTGTTTAGCTCAGAATGAGTAAGTTGTGGAACCTCTCCCACTATGGTAATAGCTTTTGTTAAATAAAGAGCTGGAGGCTGGCTGGAACTGGGACAGAGGGATGGCTGAAAGACAGAGGCAGGGGACAAAAGCATGGAAAGGAACAAAGCAGGGAAGAAAAGGGAGAGTGCCACATGGCAGGATGCGATGGAAGGGAAGTAGGGGTAAGTTAGAGGCTAGCTGAGAGACTGCCTTATACTACACAGATATCTCCCCATCTTTATTACTAAACCTCAAGCCAGTCCCCGGAATTCTCTGCACTAGAGTTCTCATATCTACTCTTTGGAAACCAACTTCGGCACGTCAACTCAGCTGGGCTTAGTGCTGTGAGCCCTTCGTCCCTGCAATAGGGAGGCGGATGCAGCAGGACCACAAGTTCAAGGCCAGACTGGAGCTGCACAGTGAGACCTAATCTCAAAATAAATAAAAATGTAGCTAATGCTTGCTAAGGTCTACTAAGCACACTGATGTTATGTGGGACTGTGTAAGGGTATCTTGGTTCTTGGCTGGGCATGGGCCTGGAACCCCGAGATTCCAAGGGAGAAATGGCAGGTGTTCAGCCACGTCCCCAGAACCCAGGGTCCTGATATGCAGTCTAGTCTCCATAGACCTACATTGTTCAGTCACATAGGACATTACAGCCCCTCCCAAAGTGCACAGGTAGAGGGTGTGACTACAGGTCTCAGGCCCTAGAGAGGTTTACATACTAATGAAGGCCAGAGGGCAGAGCCAATTAAGCATTCTTCCCTAGACCCTCCCCTTATCTCCCTCTCTATTTAACTCAGGTCTGCCCTGAGTTTTACGGGGGTACATCCAGATCCATCTACCATCCACCATGAAAATAAACCCTTCTGGAACCAAGGACTTCCTCGTGTCATTGGGGTCTGCCGTCACCAAAGCCTCCAACCTGTGGAACCTTAGACTTTCTCCTGTATGTGGGACCCGCCACCTGGAAAGTCTCCGAGACACCTCTGCTGTGGCCTTTTCCCCACAATGTTATAGCAAGGATAGGGAATGAGGACAACACAAAGTTGAAAAACACGAAACTCTCTAACTACATGGTACAACGGGCATACAGTGAACTCGAGTCCTGGGAAAAAAGCCTTTCTTTCTACTTGAACTGTTATCAGGAATCTGGGTTTAATATCCAGTGACATGGCATTGAGTCACAAAAGCATGCAAACTCATGAAGTGAGATAGCCTCATGAAAAGTATCAAGGTTGGCTAGGGTGCCGCTTGGTGATAGACAGATTGCCTAGCATGTACAAGGCTCCACTCCTCCCAAAATGCCGATTTTCTCACTTCAGTTTTGAGGTAAATATTGTAATATAGTCTGGAACCTTTTCCTTAAATATAAAAATGAATACTAGAGGTTTTTATGGAAATTGCTTTCATTTTCTTTCTTATTTATTTTATTTTATTTATTTTTTGGTTTTCCAAGACAGGGTTTTTCTGTGTAGCCCTGGCTGTCCTGGAACTCACTATGTAGACCAGGCTGGCCTCGAACTCAGAAATCCGCCTGCCTCTGCCTCCCAAGTGCTGAGATTAAAGGCATGCACCACCACTGCCTGGCGTTTTTTTTTTTTCCCTTAGTTTGTGTGTGTGTGTTTTGTTTGTTTTTGTTTTCAAAAAAAAAAAAAAAAAGGAAAAAAAAAAAAAAAAAAAAAACGGGACTAAAGAGAACACTTTTCTCCTGGCTGCTCTTGTTCATTCAATGCTCCCCACGTAATTTGCTGTGGGTTATAAGGAACTTCCTAAAGAAGTTGCAGGCTGCTAGAATCAGAGCTTAACAGGAAGACCAGAATGCCAGGAGAAACAGACTTTGGAAGTCTGGCTCATAAGACATAAAGGAGAAGAGAACTTAAGTGTAAACAGGGCTACAGATCATTAGTGTCACACTCTGACAAAGAATCTGGCTACACTATGCGCACATCCTGAAGAAAAAAAAATCAAAGCCGGGCAGTGGTGGCGCATGCCTTTAGCCCCAGCACTTGGGAGGCAGAGGCAGGCTGATTTCTGAGTTTGAGGCCAGCCTGGTCTACAGAGTGAGTTCCAGGACAGCCAGGGCTACACAGAGAAACCCTGTCCTGAAAAAAAAAAAAAAAGATCGAGGCTGAATCAAAGGTAATGAATGGAGTAGGTTGTCTGGCAGAAGCCATCTCATGACATGTAACGTTAGTACAGGCTATGCATGGTTACCATTCAGTATTCCCATCAGCTCTGCAGTCAGAGAGAGAGGGCAGAGACATGATATGGCAAAAAAGAGGATGTGAGCAAATTCTACAGACAAGGCCATGCAGAGAAGGAAACTGTGATTGTTAAGGAGGTTGGGGTCACTAAATAGAGCCTCTGGCTCTTCACAGACAAGAGGAAAGCTGCTTGGAGGACAGGACACCAAGCCTAGAGCCTCAGGCTTGAGAAAATGTAAATCTATCTGAAGAAGAGCCTGAGCTGACAATACCACTGAGGGGTTCTCTGCCCAAAAAGAACTGCTTAGAGACCCAGGTTCAACCACTGCGACTCAGGTCATTATCATTACTGTAGAAGGGGTCATTCTGCAACTTGAGCTGGCAGAGCTGGGTGGCACTGCCTATAGGAGTTGTAGACATGAGAAGTGCAGAAGTTATGAGGCCATGACAGCTTACACCAATGTCCCACAGAGCCGCTGAGGCCAGGCAATGTGTAGCAGTGTCACATTCCCTGCAAGTAGCTTGAGAGGCCATCACATAAGAGTTGTGAAGGTAAAGCTTAACGTTGCAATGGAGATCCCAGGATACTAAAGATGCCAGGACTGTGGGACATCTGTTAAAGAAAGCCTCCCACATGAAGTGGAGCCAGCTCAGCAGAAAGGCAACATGTGCTGCAGACAGCAGAAACGGATGGGGGCTGCCTAAGCTTATTGAAACATAGAGGATTCCACCAAGGGTTCTGGGTGAGGGACATGGAGCATGGAGTTCAGCTTTTGGCATTAGTCCTGCTGTATTTTGGTCTTTCCTTGCTGTCCTGGTTAGTTTCTGTCAACTTGACACAAACTTAGACATATCTGGGAAGAGGGAATCTTGACTGAGAAAATATATTCAATAAGACTGGGCTGTAGGCGAGTCTGGGGGGCATTTTTTAATAGATGATTGGTGTCAGAAAGTCCATCTCATTGTGGGTGGGACCACTTCTGGGCGAGTGGTCCTAGGCTGTACAAGAAAGCAGGCCAGCCAGGCCATGGGGACAAGCCAGTTAGCAGTGTTCCTCTATGGCTCTTGCTTCACTTACTGCCTCCAGGTCCTTGCCTTGAGTTCATGCCCTGACTTCCTTCATTGAGGGACTGAGGTATGTAAATATAAGATGAAATAAACCCTTTCCTCACCAAGTTACGCTTGGTAATGGTGTTTATCACCACAGGAGAAACCCTAAGACACCTATTATCTTTTTTTCTCTCGCATGAAAGTGTTTTATTCTTGGGAGCTGGAGAGATGGCTCAATGGTTAAAAGCACTGGCTGCTCTTCCAAAGGTCATGAGTTCAATTCCCAGCAACCACATGGTGGCTCACAACCATCTGCAATGGGATCTGATGCCTTCTTCTGGTGTTTCAAGGACAGTGTGTTTATATACATTAAATAAATAAATAAATCTTTTTAAAAAAAGGAAGTGTTTATTCTGCACCATTGTATATTGAAAATGTGTAAAATTAAAAAAAAAATAGCATTTTACAGGAAGCTCAAAGTTTGAAGCCTGAGTCTCAGAAAAGCCTTTGGGTTTCTAAGCAGTGCTAACACCTTAAATTCCCTTTGCCAAGAATTTTTTTTTTTTTTTGGTTTTTCGAGACAGGGTTTCTTTGTGTAGTCCTGGCTGTCCTGGGACTCACTCTGTAGACCAGGCTGGCCTCAAACTCAGAAATCTACCTGCCTCTGCCTCCCAAGTGCTGGGATTAAAGGCGTGCGCCACCACGAGAAGCTTGAATTATTTTTTTAAGATTTATTTATTATTATTATCTAAAAAAATCATATAGAGGTGTGTGTGTATATGTGCCCATGTATACAGGAGCCCTTGGACACCAGAAGAGGGTGTCAAGTTCCTCAGAACTGGAGTTACAGGCTGTTGTAGGCCACTATGTGGATAATGGGACCTGAACCTGGGTCCTCTGCAATAGCAGCAAGTGGCCTTGACCAACTCACCAGTCCCTTGGATACCTATTTTGTTACAAGAAAACTACTGAACACAATTTTGTTATGTACAAACCCTAGTGTGAGAAGACACACGTGTCTGAGAGAATCACATCAAAGGTGAAACATGTCTTACCGGAGGAGGAAATTTCTTCACCTCTTTTCATTCCCAATCTCTTGTAAATTTCTCTCTCAGGATCAACATAGATTTCATGAGAATATCCAGTCAGCTTGCAGAAAGGCTAAAAAGAGAATAAAATAATTGTAATTTCTCAGCCAGGCAGTTGTGGCACATGCCTTTAATCTCAGCACTTGGGAGGCAGAGGCAGGAGGATTCTGAGTTCGAGCCTGATCTACAGAGTGAGTTCCAGGACAGCCTGGGCTATACAGAGAAACCCTGTCTCGAAAAAACCAAAAACCAAAAAACAAACAAACAAAAAAATAATTGGAATTTCTCATGAGAATGAATGAGAGAAAAGTAAAGACAATCTAGATTTTTGCCAAAGAGCTCAACAAATGTAATTTTGTATCTGAAATCTTTTAAATACAGTGGTTCCTCAGTTTGCTAGATAGTTACCTCAATATGATGGTATGATGACTGTCCAATCACTATGAGGGTGACATCTGCTTCCTTTGGGAGAAAAAGGGACAAGTACATATTATTGACTAGAAAGCTTAAGAACTTTCCCTAAAGCAATTCTTTTGTATTGCTCTAACGCCACCTATAGGCTTAGAGAAGAATAGAAAACAAAATTGCTTGAGAAGAAAGAAATGCATACTCAGATATTCAAATAATTCAGATGATTTGTTTTCTCTATGTAAGAATTTCAAGACCTAAGAAACATAAAATTACTAGAGGTAAGCTCAGTAACACCGTCTAGACAATGGCTTGGCTCAGTGTAAAGGTGCTGCTGTGACTGACGACCTGAGTTCCATCTCAGGGACCCACATGGTGGAAGAGAACTGACTCCTGCAAGCTGTCTGACCTCCACACATGCACATATAAGTCAATAAAACATGGTAACGAAAGTAAACACACCAAGAAGGTTGTGTGATTCTATATAGCAAAGGAAACAACAGAGAGAAGACACAACTCACTGACTGGACTAAGAAAACTTATGCAAAGTACGTACTTGTGAAACTTATGAAAACTATGTTATGAATTCAAATACAGCAAGAAGACAATCCAGTTTTTTTTTTAAAATGGACAAAAATAGGATAGGGATCAGGACTTGTCTAGTATGCCCAGGTTCTGAATTTGACCTCTAGCAACGAAGGGCTAAAACTCAGACAGTTCTCAAAAGAAGTTCAGAAGCTGTATGAAATGATTCTTGGGCTGGGGAGATGGTTCAGTGGGTAAAAGGCTTGAAGTGGATCTGAGTTCTACCCTGAGAATCCATGCAAAAAGGCTAATGCAGCTGCATGTGTGTGTAGCCCCAGCAATGTAGAGGTGGAAGCAGATGGATCCTGTTGCTACCTGTCTAGTCAGCCCATTCAAATCAGCAAGCTCCAGACCAGTCAGAGATGTTACATTAAAAACAATGTTAATGGCCACTGAAGAACAACACTACCCCTGGTTTACCCCTGGCCTCCATGCACATGCATGCACAAACTTGTACACACATACACACACACAAACTTGTACTTTCTCAACACAAAATATTGAGCATCGCTTATCATTAGAGAAATGAAAACAGAAATGAGATATTCCTTCACCTTAGGAGAGATGCTACTCATCAAAAAGGGGTAGATATCTGTGAGGACATAGAACAAGGAGAATCCTTGCATGGTGCTGATAAGAATAAATCACACACAAATTGGTAAGAATAAATTGCACAGCTTTTATGAAAACAGTAGTGCACAGGCTCTTACAAAAATTAAAGAGAACTGCCACAGGATTCAGAACTGCTACTGTTAGTTAAACATCCAAAAGAATTGAAATGAGCATGCCAAAGAAACCCCACACTTCCGTGTTCACGGTAGCACTGTCAACACCAGCTAAGGCAGGAAGCAACCCAAGTGTCCATCAGTGGACAAATGCATAAAGAAAAGTATGGTACCCCAACAGAGTAGTCGTTTTGGTTTTGGTTTTTCTGAAACAGGGTTTCTCTAAGAGCCCTGGCAGTCCTAGATTTGATCTGTAGACCAGGCTGCTCTTGAATGCGCAGCGATACTCCTGCCTCTGCCTCCTGAGTGCTGGGATTAAAGGCATGGGCCAGCAAGCCTGGCTGAGGGTTTTGTTTGTTTGTTGTTTTTTTCGTCATCTGTGAAAACATGGAAGCCATTATGCTGAGTGAAATAAGCCAGCATCAGAAAGACAAGTCCTGGACAATTCCACATATAATACATATGGAGTCAAACATTATACCTCATGGAAGTAGTGAACAAAACAGTGGCTACCACGGGCTGGGAGAAAGGGGATGGAATATACAGAAAACTGCTCAAAGGATACAACTTCAGTTAGACACAAGAAAAAGGGATCATTGTAGAAAAGTACTGTCTAGTACAGTGACATAGTTACTACTAATGTTCTATTTCAAAATCACCAAAATCCATCTACTTTAAATGTTCTTTGTGGGGGCTGGAGAGATGATTCAGCAGTTAAGAGCACTGACTGCTCTTCCAGAGGTCCTAAGTTCAATTTCCAGCAACCACAGGGTGGCTCCAACCATCTGTAATGGCATCCGATGCCCTCTTCTGCTGTGCCTGAAGACAGCGACAATGTACTCACATACATAAAATAAATAAATATTTGTTTTCTCTGTATGCACGTGTACATCATGTTTATTGTCGGATTATTCACAATACAGAACCAGCATGGGTATCTGCCAGCAGATGCATGTACAAAAAACAAAACAAACAACCCAACAACCACCATCCCCTCGTCTCTCTCTGTCTCTCTCTGTCTCTTTCTCTCTGTCTCTGTCTCTCTCTCTCTCTCTCTCTCTCTCTCTCTCACACACACACACACACACACACACACACACGGAAGTGAAATCAGCCATAAAGAATGAGGTAATGATTATGAACTGCAGGAAATGAGTGGAAATGGACATTATGCCAAGTCAAACAAGCCACAGACAGACAAATATGGCATTGTTTTCTCTCACATGCAAAATCTAGGCTTAAATTTATATGCACATCTTTTTGTAGAGTATGAAAGTAGAAAGGGGTTTGTTGTAAGGATGAGGTCTGGGGGCATGAGGGAATGAGAGGGTAAAGGAACATAAAGAAAACACATACGACCAAGGTGATCACAAATAAGAACAGAATATACATGTATGAAAATATCGCAGTGAGACCCATTTCTCTTTATGCTAAGTGACTCATGTCAACAATATTAAAAATGTTTACAATGCAAAGATGTTTCAGAATATTATAAACAAAAGGAATAGAAGGGCAGGCAGAAGTTTTTAATTTTTTTCTTACACATCCTAATATAAATGTGTACTGAAAATAGATCTTAGTTTTACAAATGCCTAGCGTCTTCAGTTACAAAGCTCATCTGGGGACTGAAGAAAAACAGGGACATGGTGCTGGGATCTTACTGGTAAATGCAAAGCTGCACTTTTAATATACGCTACATTTCCCGATAATGGATAACTATTTGGGTTGTAAAATTAAAGGGTCCAAAACATCAGTTGCTGCCTGTGTTTTGATTTTCGCGTTCTTACGCAACATTCGGACACAGGCAGTATACCAGGTAAAATTATGATAGTTGGTTCTCAAGAGGGCGCAAAGGAGCGCATTAGGACAGAAATAGACCCTCGTGGGACTCAGCAGCCCCAGAGGATTGAGGAGGGGACAACCAGCCACAGCTCACCCCACTGCACCGGCCACTGCTGCTCACTCGAGATACTTACTCGGAGGAAGCTCTTGGGGATTTTGGCCAGATCTTCGACATATTCTTTACAGACGTAACACAAGAAATGCTGAAAGGCAACAATGCAGAAGAGCATGTCAGCCAGGTAGCAGCCAGGTTCCAGAAGGTCCGGGGTCTGGGTTCCAGGCGAGGTGTTGCACTCGCCGCGGCCCAGGAGCTGGGTGGCCAACGAGAGGGCCTTTCCCTCCCGCCCTCCCCATGCTCACCCTCACGAACACCACCACGGCTCGCCGCTCTCGGAACAGCGCTCCGAACGTCACCCGTCTCCCAGACGCGTCCAGCACCGGCAGCTCCGCTACGGCGGCCGCTAGCGGCTGCCCGAGCTCTGTGTCGGAGCCGGTCGGGCTCGGGACCCGGCCTGCGCAGCTGCTGACCTGCCGCGTCACCGGCGCGGCCATCGCGGAGGAGGGAGACAGCTCAGGTCAGCCACAGACCGCGGGAGGCGGGGCCAAGCGGTAGGGGCGGGACTGAGAGTGGAAAGGCGGGGTTACGAGGGTGAAGAGGAACTGGAGGCGGGGCCACGCGGGGCTGTTCCTTCGGAGGCGTGGCCACAAGGGACGCTGCGGAGCTACTGAAGGGAAAACACTCCAAACCCTTCTTTCTCCCAGTTTGAGTACCAAGGGGACTGCCTACAAAACTTTCCAACTAAAAACATATTCTTTACAGACGTAACACAAGAAATGCTGAAGAAGGGCTGGAAAGATAGATAGCACTGGCTTATCTTCTAGAAAACCAGGGTTTGGTTTCCAACATCCACATAGCAGCTAACAACTCTAGTCCCAGGGCATCTGATACCCTTCCGGTTTCCACAAGCTCCGTTCAGAGTGCCTACTGCTCTTTGTTTTGTTTTTGTTTATTTAATGAGTACACTGTAGCTGTCTTCATGCATACCAGAAGAGGACATCAGATCCCATTTCAGATGGTTCTGAGCCACCATGTGGTTACTGGGAATTGAACTCAGTACCTCTCGAAGTACATTCAGTGCTCTTAACCACTGAGCCATCTCTCCAGCCCACCTACTGCTCTTAAAGAGGTCCCAAGTTAGATTCTCAGTTCCCACATCAGATGTTCATAATTGCCTGGGTGGGGGGGGGAGGGGGAGAGGGAGAGGGAAAGAGAGAGGGAGGCGGAGAAAGAGTGGGGTGGGAAGGGAGAAATTAAAAGCAGTTCATTGAAATTTTTAGATTAATAGCTGGGTGGTGGTGGTGCACGCCTTTAATTCCAGCAGAAGCAGGAATTGGGAGGCAGAAGCAGGCAGATAGCTGAGTTGGAGGCCAGCCAGGACTACACAGAGAAACTGTGTCTCGATAAAAACAAAAATAACAAATAAAACATAAATTATGTTTTACTTATTTAGTGTTCCCGTTTGTGGGTTGTCTCTGTGTGGGTATAAACAGGCCTCCTCTTGTGTGTAGAGGTCGGGGTACTTTTGGAAGTTGGCTCTCTGCTTCCATCATGTGGATCTCAAATATTGAACTCATGTCATCAGGCTTGGTGGCAAGTGCATTTATCTACAGTGCCATCTCCTTGGCCCAGCATTGGTATTTGTAATCACCACCTTTCATTTCCCATTCTGTCTTCCCTTTCCCCACAGAAGTCACTTCTGCTGGTTGTGGGTCTTTAGCAGATACAGTACCAAAGTCATTTCCATTGACTTTAAACAGTCTATGAGACAGCCTGCTTTCCAGACACTTCCTTATTCCCCTGTTTTCCTCAGTAATCAAGACCAGTCATTGTAGGTAGAGCAGTAAGACCCTTCTATGCCCATTGCTTCAAAGGAGACCACAGACACAAATAAAGCACACAGGAAGAGTGCATAAAAGAAAGAATTCCTAACACAGTTAAGGCTTCCATCCTGCACATGGGTTCTATTTGAGTCAACTTTTGATCTTGGTAACAAATTTTGCATTTTTACTTCAGTCAGTTCTGCATTCCTCTGCCTAAAAAGTTGTATTGCACTTATTGTATGTGTGCATGTGGGGACACTGTGACACTGCCTGTATAGAGATCAGAAGACAACTTGTGGGAGTCAGTTCTGTCCTTCCATCATGTGGGGCACAAGGGATTGCATCCAGGTTGTCAGGCTTGGCAGCAGGTGAGCAGCGCTATGTCCTGACTCAATTTCTTTTTTAATAAACAAAGCACTTTAACTGTAGAATGTAGGGATAATCTCCTGTACGGGGTGGAAGTATCACCTGTCGATAAAAAGCCAATGGTCGATAAGCTGAGACAGGATTAGAAGATTGGACATCTGGCAAAGAGAGAGGAACTCTGGGTAAGAGTCAGGTGCAGGAGATTCACTACCTGGACTCAGGAAGTCAGATGTGTAAAACTGAGGAGAGGTAACCAGCCAGGTGACAGACAGAACAGAATAAGCTGGATAACTGAGTTATGAGCTAGTCAGGGGACAAGTCTAGCTTAAGGCCTAGGCATTTATTAATAAATAAGCCTCTGAGTAATTATTCTGGAACTGGGGCTCAGATGGAAAAGAACACAGTAATAGTAGAAACTGCCTGGACTCTGGGTGCTGTCCTTGTTGCACTAACTCTAAAGGAGATATTGACCTGTATATTGTTCTCTATAGCCCCAAATCACGAAATCTTCCCAAAGATGGCTGACCTGTGAGGACAAAATGAAATCACAACTCACTGTTCAGAAGTCAGATCTAATATAATAGTATATGAATTTATGCGAATTAATCCAGCATAGTAGAAAACGTCATGGATCAGAATTTGTCGGGGGTGTTTTTTGTGTGATTCATGTGCACTGTGTATTCCTGTGCACTGTGTATTCATGTGCACCATGATTCATGTGCACTGTGTACTCATGTGCACTGTGTATTCATGTGCACCGTGTATTCATGTGCACCATGATTCATGTGCACTGTGTACTCATGTGCACTGTGTATTCATGTGCACTGTGTACTCATGTGCACTGTGTATTCATGTGCACTGTGTACTCATGTGCACTGTGTACTCATGTGCACTGTGTACTCATGTGCACTGTGTATTCATGTG